CAATGTCGCTATCAACACTAGATACATTCCTCTGACGACAGACACGAGCAAAGTGACCAAACTTGTGGCATTTTTTGCACACTGCTAATCGAGCTGAGCCCGAGTAGTAATTGGCTTTGTGGGATGTGCTTCCACATTGGTAACATGTGATGTTTTTGATTATGCTGCTCTTCAGTGTGGGGAACACTTTAGTGACGTCAACCAGTTCACCAGGACGGACAAACTACTTTGATTGCTTCGATACTTCGTCTTCAATGAACGCTAATTCACAGGCTTTCTCCCAAGTCAGTTTATCAGCATCTTCTTTCAAGAGTGATTCACGAAGTCGATCATCTTTTTTTTGAGCCCTTATTCTCTATTTTTTGAGAAACATTTTTACAGAAATCTCAATTCTTGTATGTACTCAACGGATCCCTTTAATTATTTCCAAATTATTTGAAATGATTTTCAGTCTGATTGAATTTTTTTATAAAGCAAATGGGGTAATTAGATGTGTAATCTACTTAGGTTTGTACTTTTGGAGATGAATTATTCTGGCATGGCTAATGCTGATAACTTAGGGTAGCTTTTTTGAACGTCTATGTGTGGGCGGTAGTCGAGTGTTTATCTAGTCAGAATAGCCGCTTTAAGGATGTGAGTTATAACTCCGGCAGAGCCGAAAATTGAGCAAATTTATTCGTTCGCTACGGGCGTCCTCGGTATCACTGTGGTCTATTTCCTCAAGGAACATTGTCAGTTTTTATAATGTGTAAACAAATCATTTGGAAGGACACATTCATCTCGTAGAAACCTTGGTGAACGGCGTTTTACGTTAGATCATCCAAATTGGCTTCATCTAGACTCTATGTTATCGGCTAGTTCAGTTTGGCATACGCCTCGCATGGAATAAATTTCCCGAAGGTATTAACCTTCGGGAATTACCAAATATTACACAGACACGCAGCGTCCTGTATTAAAGCTGTTTTATTTCTCATGTTGGCTCGGAAAATTCGAAAAACGGAGGCGTTTCACTTGCATTTATCAGTAAAAAGAACGTTCGAGGGATAAGATAGAATGAGAGATGTCCACGCAGATGAGGTCAGCCAATAGCTGCGACAGTATACAAACGCAATAAGCACAGCATATGCCCCATGTCCACAAACATCCCCAACGAGCTTTCTCCAACACCTGCAGTCTATTAGACTCTACTCGTAATCCTGTTACCAAAACACGAAATAAACCAGATTAGACTGACAACCCTTTGACCAAAGAAAAATAGTGAATTGAGGGCTAATGCAGTTTGCACTCTAAATATAATCAGCTTATCTTACCAACACTATGAATAAATGACATCACACCCAATAAGCTGTCGCATGATATCGGTCGCCGAAACCGAACAATGACTGTAGTGATTGAGGTCAGTAGCATGTTCATTTTAGCCCGGGATACGGAAGTAGTTCGCACCACACATGGCACGGAAGCTGACTAACTGAAATGAACTAAATACGCACACGGATCCCGGAACACGATGTGTAACACAAACACAGACATCTACGCACACGTGAAACCACACGACCACGCATTGTTCCGTGCACAATCCATCAAACGCTATAAATACAACGAATTGATCCGAGGAACAATCAGACAGCTGATTCGAGCAGCCGAGGAGGAAGATACTCATTAGCAAGTTCACGTGTGACTGTAACAGAAGAAATACAAAATGCTGACCACAAGTCTCACTGTCTGCTTACTCCTATTCACCCAAATGTCACGAGATACGCATCAAGCGAATGCGGAACCCGTGAGCACGAACCTGTCCGATCCGGTCGCGCGACTGCGAGAGGAGACGAATGCTGCATTGGCTGATATTGTGAGTGGTCGAGCGCAAGCGGACCTATCGTCTCCGTTGTCGTTCTTACGTGAGACAGACAGTGCGCTGTGGGATGATGCGACTGCGTCTGGTGGAGTTGGTGTGACGGGGAGCGGAGAAGATGAGGTGTCCGTGCTCAGTCCGGCTCGCCGTCGTCGTCGTGGTCGCGGTCGTGGTCGTGTTTGTGTGCGTGTATGTGTGGGTCCTGCATGTTTCATGCGATGTCGACATGTTTGAGCTGGCGAGGACTGCATACCTTGATTTTGTACTCGTGTTTTCCTATTTTGTTCCTGATGGTGAGAACAGTGCTACGACTTGTTTTCTTGTGATAAGCGTTTAGTCCGTCGTCAGATAAACTGTGGAGATTTGCATTCCGACAATGCATTTTCTTTCGCTTTCTCGCTTTTATTACCATTCCCGGTTGTACAGTGTTTATGTGATTAAAGTATTGCTTTGTTGAAATTATTGTCTTCGTGTTTTCATCGGTTTTTCGGCATACGTTGGCATACGGTGCATTATATAATGGGTTTCCCTGTGTTCCCCCATTTAGAATTGTGGGGTGAATGTTCAGGAGAATTAGACGTTGTTTTTTGTTTGTTTGTGGAAACATTTTACGAACCTGGATTGGAGTCATAATTTATTGTGAGGGTTTACTCGGCGCCAGTAGATCGTCTTCTCCGTCCCTTGAATTTCTTTCATCTCTTTGCTTTTCATTTTACTCCCTTTTATTGAACACACGAAGACACCATTAACAGGAAAGGGTGAAGCGGCTAATCAAAGCGTCTGAATAACGGTAGCTGTCCGTGTCTTCACTGGTGAGATCTCGCTCATTCAATGATGTTTAATACACAGCGTTTTATTTTCGACTATGCACGTCATCCTTGCGGTCAATAGTTCGAATCTGTATGCAACGCATCGAATTCCTGTTCATTTCGACAGTAAAAGCGTGAAAGCTAACAAACATTTGCGGTCGACTTGGAAAATCGAACTAGACACTGGGCAACGAATTGCACATTTATGCAAATTGTGACCTCCACTGTGCACATATCTCCAGCGTCTGCGAATCTTGGTTGTTTGATGGATAGAATTGAATGGTTAAATTGTTTCAGTTCTTAAGCGATGTTGAGTTCTGCAGTCGAAATTGTTGGTTGTTTTTATGGATCACATACGCTTTTCCTTATAAGTTGTTTAAAAATAATATAATACGAAGGTGATACACTTGATACCCATAAGGAACCGCTGAATTTCCTCACCAGCCGGAGTGACATGGTCAGTGCTTTGGAAATGGTTGGGAAATGGTGAATTCAGGTCAGCCGAGGTAGGAGAACCGATTTTCAGTACTGACTCAATCTCCCGTCTATCTAATGTCTATCTAATCAACTGCGATTGTACTCACCGTTCTCGACGTCGATAACGTGTGAGCCCTAACTTGCGAGTAGTATATCAATTGGCTACCCAAGAATGCGATCACCTCCGCAATGCCCGTTGGCAACCAATTACAGCAACTCATCTCAATGGAAGTTACACTTTCCTAATTCAATCTCGACCGTCAACGATGCTGCCCCGACGGCAGACAGTGTGTATCCACTGCGATCGGTTGTGAACATCATGCATCTCAGCACGGCCACCCGTTTGCATTGATATTAATGAGAGTTGTTTAAATGCTTCTAGAGGGCGGCACGCTGCTGTAGTATGACCAATTTTATGATGAAATCCAGACAATATCAGGCATTTGCGGACGTTAAACATCTCCCAAAATCGAAATGTATGTTCACACTGGAACTCCAAGAAACATTAAATGCGGCTCACTTATGGTCTGTTAAGAACGGCATCCAATTTAACGTCTCCAAATCTACGGGGATATCAATTCGAATCACTAATCCCAAAATCTCGACTGGATTGTCGACGTCATTCTTTCACCGTCAGAGTGCGCACTGCCTGGATGCCTAAACATCCTATTGTCGTGGTTTGGCCAACAGAGGGGCCTTCGGCTCTATCGATTGACCCGC